GGCGTCAAGGGCGTCACACCACCATCCACAGGTGCGGAGAGACCTCGACACATCACTCACAAGGAGGGGCGGAAAGGCAATCGACCTGTGTGTGTGTGCTGATGGTATGCAGGCCCTCGTTTTGCCACACTGCAGCACACCAGCCATGCAATGCATCGACACACGCAAGCAAACAGGTACTAACACATACATGGAGATGAGAATAAGCCAGACAGGAAGATCATAGCGTACTTACACAAGACGCTGCTAGGTAGGTCCGCACACGCCATCCATTCCACTCGTTCATTCATTCCGTGCTGTGTCGGTGTGCCTGCCTGCCTGCTTGCCTGCAGATATGTGTGTGATGAGGCGACTTCGGTCGTAGCCGAACGAAGAGAATAGAAACGAAGGAAAAGGAGAAACGGAAAAGAAAGAAGAAACCTTAGAGGGCGAGGCCGCCGAAGGCGGCCGAGCCCAGGCTTCGACTGCACAAGGGGACACGGCTCGATTGAACCTCAGGTTGCGCAAGTTGGGCGGCTGGATGGTGAAGTTGATGCGTGGCAGCACAAAGGTGTTCTACTGTGAGCTGCCTCCCCCGACCTTCTGCACCTCGATCATGCTGCTGCCTCGCGGCCCCTTGTAGATGACCTTCTCGTTGTTGGACAGCCCGTAGCGCCAAGACATGTTGCGCAGCACCAGGCATACCACGCCTCGCTTGAGCTGCAGAGTGTGGGGCGGCTTGGGGGACTCGTTCTGACCCGCGAGGAAGTCCTCGTCATGGTGGCCTGCCTGGTAGTCCTCCTCAAGATAGCGCTCGCGAGCGACATGCGTGCAGAGCTGGCCGTCCATGCGGTCGATGATAGTGTTGTTGATGGCGTCCACTGCCTCATTCGTCGGACACAGGATGGCTCGGCTGGCGCATGCTCGAGGATCACGCTCGTAGAGCCGGTCAGGGAATGCGAACTCGATGGCGTCCTCCTGGCTGTGGGAGTGTTGCTGATCGAGCTCGATCCAGTCGGAGGCGTCTTCGGGGCGCAGGGAGGGGTCCTTCTCAACGAATGAATCTGCACGAAACGTCGCTGGCGCCCGTCGCCCACCTGAAGAGACACGCATACAGGCAGACCCAGACACATGCACCATGCGATGTACACACACATGTCCGGATGCGGTACCTTGAGGCACATGTTCGTGTATGCGGTGTCATTCTTTGAGCGCATGATCTGCTTCAACTCACGCACAATGAACTCGTCGTACAGGTCAGACGACCGCAAAGACGCGTGGAAGATTGTTGTCTCGTTGCAGTCCTCGTGTCGCGGCAGCACGAGCGGGAGCTGCCGGAAGTCGCCCGCACAAACGAAGACCTTGCCGCCGAACGGCAGATTGCATTCCATGATGTCTTGCAGCATAAGGTCGACCGCTTCGATACACTTCCGGTGCGCCATGCTGCAGGAAGGGATGGATGGATGGATGCAAACGAAGAGACTGGACGCGTTATGATGTGCGGCCCCGAACCTACCTGATCTCGTCCCACACGATGACCTTGGCCTTTCGCAGCAGGTCGGCCTTCTGCGAAGTTCTGCTCACTGTGCAGCGCAGGTTCTCCTTCATTATGTCGTCCACCACGGGGATCTTATGCAGGCCGTGAGCAGTGTGTCCACCGACATAGTTGAGAGCCGCGAGTGCAGTGGTTGCGGAGGCGAGGGCGATGTCGCCGCGGCTGCGCACGGCCGAGAGCACGCAGCGCAGAACAGTCGTCTTCCCCGCACCACCTGACCGGTCGCAGACACAGGAGGAACGATGAGCGATGCTTGCCTGCATGGAACCATTTGTGTACCTGGCGCCTTGATGAGCAGACAAAAAGGCTCCGGGCTGTCACCGTTGCGGGGGTAGATGTGGGCCATGATGTCCTCAAACACTTCCTTCTGCTCGGCGACCTTCTCGACCATGTCATGCACCCTGTCGTAGCTTTGCCTGATAGTGGTGAGGCTGCCGTAGCTCTTGCGCTCGGTTTGCTCTTCAGCAGGGATGTGCTGTGGCTCTGGCGGGCCGCATTCTGTGTTGGTCATGCCGCACTCCTGGAGGTCCTCACAGATCTCCCGTAACAGGCGCTCGTAAGCTGCCTCAGGATCGTCGACTTCCTCGTAATCGTCCACCATAAACTCGCGGTACTTCTCCAAGATGTCGGCGGCGGCACACTCGTGGTTGAGGATCAGCACGACGAATAAGAAGCGCAGCTGATAGGGCAGGACAGCTTGCTCTTCGACGGCCTCTCTCATGACGTTCTCGACGTAGGTCTGCCCCTCCAGTAGCCCTGCTGCCTTCGCAGCTTGGCTGAAGGTTGAGTAGCAGGTCCCATCGATAGTGCGAATCGCCTGAGAGACACATTGAAGACACACAGCAACGATCGAACCATCGCTGCCATATGCATACTCTGTGTCTCCGCCACTTACCTCAAAGCTCCCCTTTGCCTGAGAGCCCTTCAGAAGCAGTCGAAGGTAGTAGCGCTCTCCCTGCATCGCGAAGGCGCTCTGCAGCCGCGTGCAGTGCTGTTCCCAGCGCCGCCGCTGATAAAAGCCGTGGCCCGTCTTGGTGCGCATCTCACGGGCTGTCGCCGACTCGTGGGCATCAGCATTCTCGCCCGCCATATCCGCTTCTTGTGGGTCTCGAGCTCGGTCCTTCTTCATCGCAAAGCGACGGAAGAACTGCTGATAAGTCATCTGATCGAAGTCCACGTCCTCATTGTTGATTCTCCTGGTGGCGTCCGGCCGATTCAGCCAGTGATCGATCATGCTGAGGCCGGGCATGAAGACCCGCCCCGTCTCGCCTCGCCCCGACACTCGTTGAACGACTGGTCGCTCGGCCGGGAGGTAAACGAGCAGCGTCGTCACGGACGGCTGAGTCCAGTGGATCTGATGGCCGAAGATGCGGTGGCACGCCTCGCTGGCACAAAGGACGCGGCCCTGCTGGTAGTCGCGGATCTCGTCTCGTTGTTGCTCTTGCGCTGGATGTGCAGTCTGGTGGTTGGTGAGGAGCGACGCCACCTGTTGCCGGCGTCGCTTCTTCTGCTGCTCGGATTCGGAAGCCTCGCCGGCATCCGCCTTGGCCGCTCGCTGCTTGCGCTTCTTCTCGTGCTCCACGCTGATGAGAAAGGCGCTCTTCTCGGGCTTGTACATGTACTTATACCTGCAGACCGACACACGCAAGCAGCAGCAGAGAAGCCACTCCAATGTGGGTTTCTCTCTTGGCTTGTTGTCTCACTGTCTGCGTTGTCTCTGCCTGCGTACATGTAGCTGATGACATTCGTAGAGGCAGCGCAGTCGACGTACAAATGACAGTTGAACTCGGCAAGCAGCTCGGGGGAGTACGGTGGCACCCACCTATCCTCCTCGTGGCGTCGCCGGTACACGCAACGGCCTCGCCCGTCGAAGTGCGTCTCGTCGCAGAGCGGCTGAGGGAAGCCGTACTTGCACCGCTCGGCCACTGGCTCGTTCGCATTCCTGCAGCGGTGATACTCGCGCAGGCTCGCCTCGTCCCTGCATCGCGCGCTGCACTTGTGGACCATGAAGCTCTCCACGAGCTTCCTGAGCTGCGGATTATGCCGAGGCATCTCGCCGCAGACGAACTTGTCCACATCAGCACCGCAGCTCGGGTGCTCTTCATTGCGCACGCTGATGTGCGCGTGGCTGAGCCCTCGCTTCTGGTACTCGATCACAGCCATCAGATAGAGAGCTCGGCTGAGGGGGCCGTCCCGGAGACGCTGCAGCAGCGAGCGTAGCTTGAGGTGGAAGACACGACTGGTCAAGTCGGGGCGATCATACGCTGTTTGCCCTGCGCAGCCACAGCCAGCCGAACGCACATAGGCATTGATCCATGCAAGTAAGCCGCCGGATTGTGTCTCCCTCACTCACTGCCACACTTACCCGATTGAAGCTTCTCCTGGATCTCGGGCCAGTTGCCATTGCATGTGATGATGATGAACCACGACGGCTTGCCGTACTGCGCAACGATAGCAAAGGCGTCCTGACAGAGTCGCTTGTAATACCGCTCGCTGCCCACGAAGCTGCCTGGCAGCAGAACAAAGCCTCCCTTGGCCTGCTCCGTCACATCCACCCCATCACATTCGAAGTCATCCTGCATTTCTCGCGCAGCGCTGTCCCGCTCCTTCTCTGCCTCGCTCAGCTTCAGCACGTCGCTGCCGCATGTAACGCATCTGTGTCCAGTAGCGGTCCTACCGCTTCACGTGCCCCTCCAGGATGTCGCGGTCCGTCCACGCCCGCGTGTAGAACTTGCGATCGATCATGTCCTTAATCTCGGAGCTCTCGGCAAACAGATGGAAGTTGCCTCTGAAAAGGAGACAGGCACACACAGCAACACAGGGATGCACTTGCCCTGATCTTCGCGTGGCTGTCAGACAGACAGCGTGTCTCCTCTTGCCGACCTTTATTCCACAGGCATCGATGGATACCACCCGGGAGTGCCCTTCAGGAACAGCAGCGGGTACTGGAGCGGCTCGTACACATGCGAGAGCACATCGACGAACTCCATCGCATCGCCTCTGTGCCCCGACCTCTTCAAAGAGATGAAGACCTTCCGCTGCTGTGGAAGGTAGGCGGACGTCGAGCAGGGCAGGACGATGCAGACGTCGTCTGCTTCTGGCTTGAACTTGAACTGCAGGATGATGTCCTGCCGGCCGTTCTCTGCTAACCGGCCGAAAGCATGAAGGTCTCGTACGAACGGATTGTTCTCATGGAGTATTTCCTGACACAGTGACAGACACACACAAAGCACCCGCTGTCTGTCTCTCCCTGCACGCCGTTAAAAGATGTGTGTCACCTTGAGTTGATCGATTAGGTACTTATAGATCTCTTGCTCTCTCGCCGACCTGCCGCCCATCTCGCCGACTCGTTTGTCCAGCTCTTTTTTGGCTCCAGCATTATCGAACATAAGCCCTACAATCGGATGGTCCTCGGCTGACAGGATGCGATGATAGACACGGCCGTGGATCGTCATGTTCCCCCAGTCGTGGGGGATTGACGCTGCCAAGTCAGAGTTGCCATCGAATCCGATCGCTGTCATGGCGAAGCTGTTGTTCAGCGACAGCGACTTGTCTCGCAGCTGCTTGCCATATCGCGACGCCACCAGATCCTGCAGCTCTTTTGGCACCGGAAGGTTGTCGAGCACCGTCTTGCCTTGCTGACAGCAGAAAGATGCACCATCTCCCTCCCACACCAGAGCATCGCAGTGCGGGCACGCCTTGCGCTTCGGCAGCCGATGCAAGGCTGGGAAGGCCCTCGTCGGATCCAACAGGGGCTGATCGCATGCTGCGCTCTCTGCAAACACACAGATAGACACGGACACACACATCAACCGAGCACGACGGAAACTTGCACACCGACCCACCGGGATAGTGCCGCTTGACCAACTCTCCGAGGCATCGGACAGCCCGGTCGACGCCGCTTTCACCGCCCGCCGAGTGGCACCCCTCACCCGAAAGCGCCTCACGATCGTCAACTGCAACGGGTCCTTAGGCTTCAAATGCACTTCGAAGCGATGCCTCGTGAAGCTAAGCCAGCACAGCCGCCTGCTCATCCCCTGCGCCTTGTGGTGCTCTCTCAGCAGCTCTTGCGCGAGCCGCGTCGCACTCTCGCGCGTCAGGTCCGGCTCGCGTACGTCGGTCTCCATCTCAACCGCGCCCTCCTCGCTATCGCTGTCCATGCCAGGACAGGACGCATAGTACTCCTCGTACTTGCCTCGGATGCTCTCGAAGGCCACCAGTAGCCCCTCCTCTGTCATGGGGCGCGGCTTCTCGCGGAAACAGACAGGCTTGGGCAGCAGCTCACCAGATGCTGGGTTGTCGGTTATCCTGCAGTGAAAGCGCTGCGCCGTCCAGTTCCAGGATATCGGTGGGCGCTGCGTGATGAGGCACGTTTGACGATACGCGGCAATGAGAGCGTTGGCTCGCTCTTCTGCTTCTGAAACGCAAACAGAACCACACGTGACCGTCACCGTCTGTTCATATCCTCTTCCTCGCATGTCACCTTCGGCTCTCAAGTAGCGAGGCTTTTCGTTCGGCGCCCGCTCGTCAACCTTGACCCTTTTAGCGGCCCTACCCGATCGAGACACAGTCGATGACTGTCGCCGTCGCTTCGTTTTCCCGGAAACGCTGCTCTTCGCGCTGACCGCTGGCCGCGACGATGCTGCCGGCTGTGTGGTGGATGGCTGTTGCTGCTGCTGCATGGCTCGCCGGACGTAGTCGAAGTGGTGATTCTCGTAGTTCAATAGGATCATAGTCGATCGGTCATCAAAGGCACCAGACTGGCAGTCGAAGACGCCTGGCTGAGACCCACGCCCCACGAGCTCATACAAATAACTGGCGAGCCGCTTGTTCCCGGAATCGAGCACAATCACGACGCACTTAAGCCCGAGCGCATACAACGATGCCGCAACAACACCCTCATCTGGCCATGTTGGCGCTTGCAAGCCCCACCGGATCCACCACTCCTGTGCGACCATCCCTCGGAGCTGTGCGAGAGCATTCGGAAACATGTCCCTCAAGTACACCACCTCCTGACCTTGCGGGAGCTGTGCCGTGGCGAACTCTCTCTCCAACACCGATAAGATGTAACGCTTCAGCAGCAATGGGTCGCTCGTTGGGTGCACGCACCCGCTGCACGTGTCTTGTAGCTGCTGTGCTAGACAATGGAAGAAGCAGTGGTTGTCTTTCGGCTGCTCGATGACCATCAAAGGGATGCGCAGCGAAGCGAGCTGCCTCGTCAAAGACCCTCCCGTCTCATCGAACGCTACCCCTCCCTCCACTGGCTGACGAAGCACCTGCTGCACAGCAGCTCTCGCCTGCTCCAACTGCCGCCGCCGAGCCAGCTGCGGGCCGCTCGGCGCCCTCGAAGGGCGCCGCTTTCGCGCATAAGGGTTGCCGCGAATTGCACGAATCAGTTGGTTTCGCCTCTTCCGCAACCCACGGGACGATCGCAGCCACACAATGTCCTGCAGCAGCCCAGTGGGTATGTCCCGCAGCGAGTCATGAGAACGCACACCTGAAGCAGCACCATGAAGCAGTAAAGCAAATGAGTGCCGGCAAGACAAACACAGAAATGCAATGTCCCCCACTCCTTCATTTTCGTTTTCATTTGCATTCTCACCATCCAGGAAGCGTCAAAACGCCTTGGCATCGACACCCCCCCTCGAGTCAGCAGCGACTGATGCCATGGAGGACACCCACTACCCTGCCAACGCTTACGTGCGTAACGTAGGAGTACCAAGGGCTTATCGCTAACAGCAGTAGGAAGCTCGACACCGTCCTCGAGATGAACTGGCCCATCTGTACTCGTCCCTGCCACATACACACATACGCGCAGACAATGAAGAGAATGAGTGTCCCCTCCCCCCGACAGATACGCCGCGTACGTTGTACGAACCTGGCCTGCCAGCGAACGACGCAGCACCTGCACATGTATAATTACAGCCTGCCACGCAGGTGAAGCCCTCGCGAGAGAGAGGGCGGCCTGCAGCCACACACAACAACGCACTCCGCGAGCACTGGCCATCCGTCCTGCGCCCATTACCATCTTCAGTTCCCAGCAGGACGCACACAACCACACAGAAGAGAAGTCCAAAGAAGGCACCCGTCCTCAGCATCATCACCCTTCACACCTCAGCAGGATCACTCGTTACGGTTGCCATTTATGCCTTTGTTGCCTCTACAGCTATGGCCCAAGGACGCCCCGAATGACCCAGATTCTGATCGAATTGCACTATGCTCGCGAGATACTGTGCCGCGCGACTCAAGAAGCAGACCGTTCGAACCACCAGCAGGCGCTTGACATCGTGATGAAGCCGAAAAAGAAACCCTAAATGTGTACCTTTAGGGTTTCTTGCACGGTTAGCTAGTGGGGAGATCTGGGCCAATGGGACGTTCAAACCCTAAATCCTAAACCCCAACCGAGCTGCTTCTGGCTTCTCTGCGGCAACCTATAAAGACGTGCGCCGAGGTGGCGTTATCAACCTTATTACTGTGCCCGCTCCAGCTCGAGCTCCTCGGGATCCACGGCCGCCGGAGGCGGCCGGCACAATACTAGTCAACGGCAGAAAGGCAATCAAAGCGATGAGCATCATGTCGGGCGCGTCCCTGTCGCCGCCCATGACGGGCTGTGAGGCGGCCGACAGGCTGATCCGCCGTGCCCGCAGGTCATTTGACGACATTGTGGCGGCCAAGGAGAGGGCCCAGGCGGACGTGGAGGCCATCGCCAATGAGATGTCCGCCATGGTGGCGGCCAAAGGCGGCGTGTGGCAGCTCACCGACACCGAGGGAGAGATCATGGTCAATGCCGGTAAAGACGGGACGGAACAGACAGGCAGAAATGGGCATATGTGTGTGGTGCAAATGTCCGTCACTCTCTCACTCTCTCTGTGTGTGTGTGTGTGTCTGACCAGGCGGTGTGGTCTTCCCAGTGAGTCGGCGCGCCCTGTTGATGCCCTTCATGAAGCGGCGATACATCTCAGTGCTGCTGATGCATCACGCGGGCGGCCTGCCCAAGGATCCCGACGGCCACCTCTACCTCGAGACGTCATCGGCATACTTCGAGGCCTTCTGGGACGAGCTGACCCTCTACCAGACTGGCCGTACCGACACCGTGACCCTGCCGGCATCCAAGGCGTCAGATCCCCTTTACAACGACTACCACGCCCTCTTCATGAGTGAGATCAGCTGCTACTCGGCCCCCCAGCAGACCTCCGCTGCAGCCACGGCCGCGCCGATGGAGGTCGACGGCCACACACCCGACACACAGCCGGCCGACACATCCGATGAGATGCAGCAGCACATCCGTGAGTGTGAGGAGGCCCTCCGGGCCCATGGGGCCGCCATGGTGGGGCTGCGGGCGGTGCGCGATGACATCCAGCGGTTCCTGACGGCCATGGAGCCCTTCTTCGCCAGCCGACACGCCGAGGACAATGCCATTCTGAGCCTGACCATCCACAGCCGGAAGGTGTCGATCATGCGGAAGAGCCTGGAGCGGCTCGGCCACAACCACCCCCTGCTGACACGCTTCTCGACGTAAGAATGACACACAGACACAGAAAGAGGGGGACGAGGGGATGATGCGCATTGGTGTTGGTGTCGGTTCTGATGGTGGTCAGGACGCCCCCCTGTTTTGCCGACCGTTCTGTGCGGCAGACGCCCACCAAGTGCTTCATGGCGGCGGTGGAGTTTGCGCGCTGCATCGCCACCATGCCCACCGAACGGCTTATCCGCCCGCCACTCGTCGAGGAGGGCGACAAGCGTCACTTCGTAGAGGACATCGTAAGTGAGACACACAGAGAGGGCGGCACACACAGGAAGGAGCTGCTGTGTTGGTCATGTGTCGTGTGTCAGGAGATGTATGGGTTGAAGTACCAGCCCCTCTGCAATGGCGTGACGAGTGGCGACTTCGTCATCGAGACGGCCGAGGAGTGGGGCAAAGTCATCGACATGACCGGCAAACACTCACCCACAGCCACACTCATCTACAAGTGAACCCGGCCAGAGGGAAAGAGACACACAGAGATCGTTGTGGTGCATGTTGATGTCAGGTCGAGTCGCGACACGCTTTCGTATGCCTCCCTCTTCAACAAGGTGGTGGGCAAGGGCGGCCTCCTGTTCGCCATCAAGCAGGGCGACACACATCGCTTCGGATGCTTCATCGACGGCGAGATCGAACCACCTGCTGACCCCACAGAGACCAACCAGTACAGGGCGCCAGTCGTCTTCTTTTCGCTGTCGGGTGCGTACGAGACGCCCACGAAGATCGAGCTGCCGGAGGAGAGGCAGTGGGTGGAGGTGGCCGGCACACAGGGGGCGGTGGAGGACCCAAAGTGGCTGCCGCTTGCCAATGTGGCCATCGCCCGCGGTTACCTGTGCCTTGGCTTTGCCATGCCAGGTCCGGCGGCCGACCTCAGCCGCTGCTGTCAGTGGATTGAGGAGCAGCAGCTGCCGGCGGAGGGATACAGAGGGAATCGTAGATGGATGGCTAGCACGGACATTGATTCCCTCGACTATAATGGTGCGGTGGTCGGTTCCCTCGGCAGCAGTTTCGTTTTCACCTGCAGGGAGCTGGAGGTGTGGCACATCACAGCGGTGAGTGGGAGGCAGCGAGGAACAAAAGCAGAGAGAGAGAGAGAGAGGCGGAAACAACAGTGCACTTCATTGACTTGCTGCATCCTCATGTGATGCGTGTATGTCGCTGTGTGTGTGCAGGGGACCAGCTGCTGACGCACGGCAGCGGAGGAAGACATGAGGCGGCGGGGTGGGGGTGTGGTGGGGAACAGGAGAGGGAGGGGGCGAGGGCCGCCCCTTTCCTTTGCCTGAAGTGCCTTATGCGCTGCTCTCACTCTTCTCATAGAGACCTATGTGCTACTTGGCCTTTATGCGGCTCTTGTGGTGGCGGTGCGGTGCTGGTAGATGGCTGATCGGTGCCCCACAGACCCCACTGTTTCTACGTTTACGCTTGTCTGTACACTGTAGCTGCTGCTTGATGTGGTGTCTGTGTGGTGCATGGTGTCATGTCGTCATCGATGGGGGGAGGGGCACATGTGTGTGTGTGGTGCGCCGTGCTGATGAACGGCTGGATCACATTATGGGTGACATCAGCGGCTCCATATTTGTCTTTCTGCTTCCTGGGGATGGTCCACGTCGCTGTAATGACAGTCTGCAAGCCGGCGGATCGAGGAAGAAGTTTTCCTGTGTGACGTACGTGTGCAGACGTTTGTGTGTGTGTGTGTCCATATTGCATTGTGCACACAGCCAGAGAAGCAGACAGCCCCGCACTGTTCGTGATCAAACAAGCGATAGACACTGCGACACGCTGGTGTGCCGTTTCTTTGATGACGGACGATTCGCTGTTTGATGCGCTCGCCGTATGTACGCGATTGATTGGCGCCGTGCTGCGGTGCGATGTAACGTGCTCTTGTGTTCCATCGACAGACCGACCACGTGGCTGCCGTGGGGTGCATGTGTAGAGCGTGAACTGTTTTCATGCATGCCACGATGCAAGCAGGGCGGTCATCGTCTGTGTGCTGTCCGTGGACGGGGGGATTCAGGGAGCATCTGTGTGTGTGTCATTCGCTCCGCCTGTCTGTCTATGTGTCCATCGTGTGCACTGATCCTGGTCACTCCATCCATGAGGCTGCGTGAGTGAAGGAATGACTCCCTTCTGCACAAGTTGTTGACATCGATCTGTGCAATGGATGCTTGTGCGAGCAGTGAGTGACTGCATCGGTCTGTTTTGTCTGTGTGTCTCCACAGAACGACCGGTACTGTACCTGCACCGTCCGTCCAGGCTGACGACTAGCAAACATTGAATACAGCGAAAAGCACCGCCTTTTATGAATCAAACAGCCGCCATTTCTCGAGAGGCACCCACCACACTGCTTGTGAGGATGCCGGCGGGTCCAACAGGCGGAAACCTGCCCGATCTCTCGGCGAGTGCCGGATCGCTGCACTTGAGGCTCGCATCTCGACGTATTCCTTCCGGTCATTCTGAACGGCTCGAGCGGCTCGTCTGTCGTCCTGCCTCCCCATCTCGCATCGCCGGCAAACATGAGAGGCGTCGATGCCGCCAAGCGGCTGGTGGCCGAGCTGGAGAAGCGGACTCTCATCGTCAACAGACTGATCACTGCCAGCGGAGGACAGCTGACGGTCACTGAGCCGCTGGATGGCGAGATCGAGATCAACGTGGGCGGGACGGTGCTGTGTGTGCCTCGCAAGCCGCTGCTGCTGCCCGGCGTGAGCGACTCGTTCATCGCCTATCTGCTGCTGCACCATCTGGATGGGCTGCCCAAGGACACAGACGGCCACCCGTTCCTCGACGCCGATCCAATCTATATGGACTGGTGAGCCAAGCGACACAGAGGGGAGGGAGGGAGGGCAGACGAACTCACACAGAATAGTGTCTGTTGTGTTTCTTGTGTCAGGCTGTGCAACGAGGTGGCCAACGTCGGCGCCGCGGATGCGCAGGCCGAGACCCATGAGATCAAGCTGACCGGTGACCACAGCACCGACAACGCGTCGCTCTTCTGGCACGAGATCTTCTTCGCTAACAAGATAGATCTCAACATCACGCGCCAGGACCGCCAAGATGCAGACATGGGCGAGGCATCAGCAGACGCCAGTACCCCTCTGGGCGCTCTCAATCGCAGCGCCGTGAGCGTCGAGAAGGCCCTGGACGACATCAAGACGGCCGTGCGGCAGGTCATGGATGAGCATCAGCAGCTGCTCAAGTTCCACCGTGTGATGGGGCCGTTCCTCAAGTCGGCTGATGGCCAAGGCGATGAGATCAAGGGCGTGCGTCTGATGGGCAAGACGGTGTCGACCACTGAGGCCACACTGACATTCATCGGCACTGACAAACGACTGTACACCACATTCGACAGGTGACACACAACGACGGGATGGCAAACACACGTCCAGGGGGGACATTCATCTCATTGGCCGCTTCTTGTGTGTTGCAGCACTGGGCCGGTAACGTGCATCTCGCCCGCCCACTTCATGAAGGTCGTCGACTTCGCTCGCCGACAGCGAGTCGCATCCGTTGGCGACATCGTTAAGCCGCCCACGGCCCCAAATCAGCGGCAGCTCACCACCGACTGCTCCATGTACGGCCTCACCACGGAGAGTGTGAGCGGGCCCGTCCTCTGGGCCGACGAGATGCAGTGGATCATCGAGTTGACAAAGAAACGCAATGTCACGACCACACTGCTCTTCAAGTGAGTGGCAAAGGAAGGCGTGTGGGTGCGGGGGGCTGCATCGTGTGTGTGTGTTGATCAGGTCCAGTCGTGACACTTTTGGGTACCAGTCCTTCCTCAACAAGGTGACCGGCAAGAGCGGCCTGCTGTTCGCCCTCAGACATGGCGACACACACCGATTCGGCTGCTTCATCGACGGCCAGCTCAAGCCACCAAACGACCTTACACAGACGAGCGGCAAGTACGACGTGCCCCTCTTCTTCTACTCGCTCAGCGGCGCGTTCACTAAGCCCACCAAGATCGAGCTGCCGGGGCAGGGGCAGAAGGTTGAGGTGGCCGGCACACAGGGGGCGGTGAGGAGCAACAAGGGCCAGCCGATTGGCAAGGTGGCCATCGCTCGCGGCCGTCTTTGGCTGGGGTTTGCTCGGCCTGGTCCGGCGGCCGACCTCAGCAGCTGCCAGCAGTGGATCAGCAAGGATGACATTCCCAACGGATATGGCGGCGAGATCAATACGAAGGATGAGACCTTCCTACACCTAGCCAGTCGACCTGACTTGACGTGTGATGAGATGGAGGTGTATCACCTGCAGGTAAACCAGTGGGATGAAAAGGCAACCGAAACACAGCTACATGGGTGTGAATGCGTGTTCGTATGTGCCTCTCTGCAGGTCAACGGCGCATGATCCGACTGTTCATCGGATTCTGTGTCAAGCACGTCCGAGGCAAGCAGGCTGTCTGTCTCGCCCAATGCGTTTTTCCGGCTGTCTTTATTCGGTCCGTGTGCGTGTTTGTGTTTGTGGTGGATGTTTTCGTTGCATGTCTGAGTGCTGCCCTCGTGTGTACGATTGTGGCTTGTGGCCCTTCTATCGCCACGACAGACACAAAAGAGAGAGCGTTCTGATGTACAGACAGCAAGGGCCGGATGGCCGTGGTTGAGGTGGTGTGCATGTAACTGACACGTGTGTTTGACACGTGGGTGTCGCGTTACGTGCCTTTGCACACCGGTCGGCCTGATTGTTCTTTCATGTGTAAAGGCAGCGCTGTCCGATGTTCTTCGCTGTGCCCATCACACAGTTCGTTTTGATGGGATCGCTGTCACTTTTTTTTCCAAGCCTTTGTTGTGAATGTGCGTGTATGTCCTGTATGCATCTACGCGCGCCCGGTTCTCGCCGACACTGTTGTGAAGTGGAGCATCAAGCCAGAGGCCGGTGAGACCACACTACACACACACATTTCTGAACCGAGAGAGTCGAACGCACTGCTGGCTTTGTTGTTGTCGCTCTCTGGGTGTATAGGTGAGCTGCAGGTAGTTTGTGCAGAGAGTTGAAGGGATCGTTGGAGCTTGACTGATGGCCGCTGTTGGGCAGCGTCACTGCACGAGCGGCGGTAGACGTATCGATGGCCGATCGGCAAGCCAGACGGACAGTGAGCAGCGGCCGCCAAGGCCGCGACAGCTTGCGTTGCATCTGTGTGACCGGTACATCGCATTCGTGCGGCTAGCTATGCCAGTACATACAGTGACCATCCATCTCTATGTAATTCATCGTTTGGCAGATGAGCATGGCGCCAGCGAGCCGGCTGCTGGTCCTGCTGCTCGTGGCACATCATGGGCAAAGCGCCATTGCAGGTCCGCATCATGCAATCCGATCGCCAGCAAGCTTGCAAACCACCCTTCTCTTCATCGCGCCTTCCAGCATGTTTCAGCGACTCGCCATGATGCTGTCGGCCACTGGAGGCTCGAGGAGGCGAAGAAGCAGCGACCGCCAAGGCGGATCTGCCCCGGGAGCTGCTGCGTCATCTGCCGACTCATCTGAGTCAGTCACGCCATGTGAGCCGCAGCTGCAGAGCCTCACATGCGGTAGAGAGGAGGGAGATCTGGTGCTGAAGGAGGCTGCGGGATGCATCGACGACCTGAGGGAGATGGCCAAGACAGCGATGGGAGAGATGGAGCAGCTGGAGGATCAGATCAAGCAGCTGTTCGTCGCAAATGGCGGCATCCTGCAGCCACGGCAGACAGAGGACCGCATTCGGCTCAATGTGGGCGGCACTGTCATGTCAATCCCCGTGTCGGCGCTTCTCCATCCCAAGATGAAGCAGACATACCTCTCGACGCTGCTTCTGCACTTCACCGACCAGCTGCCGAAGGACGCCAATCAGCTGCCATTCCTCGAGATGCACCCGCCCTACTTCCGCTGGCTGCGTGACCAGCTGGCGCTGCTCGAGAGCCCCCACCTCGATGAGATCAGCCTGCACTCACCGGAGGCCGACGATCCCTCTCATGCCGAGTACCACTCGCTGTTCATGCAGACGCTGGGCGGTGCCATCGAGATTGGGGAGCAGCCACAGTCAACTGGCACGGCGGCAGAGGGCGGCGGGGAGGGCGGCGCAGAGAGAGGCTTTCGGCAGATGGAGCAGTGCATGCGACGCTACGAGGGCCTGCTCGACGGGCTTCGCAAGCAGAAGGAGAAGATGGAGGCCTTCTTGGTGGCCATGGGGCCGTTCATCAAGGGTGACAGCAGCGATGAGGACACCCAGGTGATGACACTCAGTGTGTCTGATGAGGATGTGTCGGTCCTCCGCCGTACGATGGCCCTTCTCGGGCCAGACCATGTGCTTGTGAAGCGGTTTGACCGGTGCGAAAGCGAAAGAGCAGCACAGAGGACGATGACACATTGCCTGTGTGGGTTTCAGGACTCAGTGGCCCGACCAGGAGGTGCGCCAGACGTCCCTCAGGTTGCTGCAGCTCGTCGTCGACTTTGCCCGCCGTTTTGCCATGCCGTCCGGCCGATTTGTCCATCCGCCGGTGGTGGCGCCGCACGAGAAGGCCATCTTCGGTGTCGAGTTGGGAATGTACGGCCTCAGTTCGATGCCGCCGGTGCCGGGGGACAGCACGATCATCAAGACGGCCGACGAGTGGCTGGCGGTGATGAAGATGGCCGACAAGAGGATCGCTGTCGCGCCGTCACTGCTGTACAAGTGAGCTCAGACAGACATGCCGGGCACACAGAGATCGTTGTTGTGCGCTGATATCAGGTCGAGTCGTGACACGTTTGGATATCCGTCTTTCCTCAACAATGTGACCGGCAAGAGCGGCCTGCTGTTCGCCCTCCGAGATGGCGACACGCACCGATTCGGAGCCTTCATCGATGGCGAACTCAAGCCACCAGACGACCCCAAGCAGGGCAACATCTACAAGGTGCCCGTCTTCCTTTATTCCCTGTCGGGTGCGTACGAGACGCCGACCAAGATCGAGCTACCCAAGGACAAGCAGACGGTGGGGGTGGCCGGCACAGAGGGGGCGGCGAAGGACAAGAACGACGTGCCGCGTGCCAATGTGGCCATTGCCAACGGCAGCCTCTGGTTGGGCTTTGCCAATCCTGGTCCGGCGGCCGACCTCAGCAGCTGCCAGCAGTGGATAAGGAGGCAGCACCTAGCGAACGGATACAGCGGCGGGATCAACACGAAGGATGATGAGGGCTACCTCGCCAGGAAGCTCAACTTCACTGCGAGCGAGATCGAGGTTTGGCACGTGCAGGTAACTCAGGGATATGAAAGGCGTTGGGCACACCGACATGTATCAGACTGTGTGTCTATGTCTTCTGCAGGCACCTCGCCAGCACGCTCAGCTTCACGTGCGATGAGATGGAGGTGTATCACGTGCAGGTAACCCAGTGAGATGGAAGGGTAACGAGCACAGCTACATGGGTGTGAATGCGTGTTGTATGTGCCTCTCTGCAGGTCAACGGCGCATGATCCGACTGTTCATCGGATTCTGTGTCAAGCAAGTGGGAGGCAGACTGTGTCTGTCTGTCTATCTGTCTCGCCCAATGCGTTTTTCCGGCTGTCTTTATTCGGCACGTGTGCGTGTATATGTTTGTGGTACGTGTCTTCGACGCATGTCTGAGTGCTGCCTTCGTGTGTACGATTGTGACCTGTGATCAGTCAGACACAAAAGAGAGAGCGTTCGATGCACACACAGGAAGGGCCGGATGGCCGTGGTTGAGGTCGTGTGCGTGTGGCTCACGTGCATGTCTGACACGTGTGTGTCGCGTCGCGTGCCTTTGCACGTGTTTCATATGCACTGGACGCATCGACACAGAATAAAATGATGGGGTCCTGTCACTTTTTCTCGAGCTCCAGCCTTTGCTGCACATGTGCGTGTGTGTCTTGCATGATGAGGCGGGGATGGATCCCTCCTCCCCGTGAGCCTGTTTGACTCTGCCTGCTCATGGGACACGAAGACGACACTGTTGTGAAGTGCATGCAAAGCGGTGTAACGCCCTTGATGGACCCATGAATGCATTGCGCACTATCCATTTCCTGTGCTTCAGGTGATGTGAATCAATGACTCACGAGAACAGATCATCACCCTTGTGCTTCGCGTGTGTTCGTCTGTTGCAGGACCTGATCAAGAGAGATCCTGAAGCATACAGAGAAGAGCCAGTACAGACACCGACATTAACACACGCAGAGAGAGAGATGCACATAAGAGAAATGTGTGTTTCGTGTGTTTGTGTGTGTAGGTATGAGTCGCAGGAGGCTCCACTTCTCGTCGAGTCTGTCCATTTTGCGGCTGAAGCCCAACAAATATGACAAAGACTTCAACGAACTCACCATGCTCCTCACACACGTAACGTACACATGGCATACAGTACACCGTCACACGTCCCCTGTGTGTCTGTGGCATGTGTTGGTGTGTGTGTGTAGGTGACGCCCTGCTACCAGAACCAGCAAAATCAGCAGCAGCAAAACACTGCCGCTGCGACGAACAGCAGTGCCGCCGGTAAGTCGTTGCGTGTCTGCCATGTGTACAGACAGGTGCAGCTGT